TAATGTATATTCACCGGGTGGCAACGGGTAGGCGCGGTACGTGAGTAGCGGCTTAATATTCATAACGCACTGGCACCGACTCAGTGATGTCAACAATACAAATCAATTTTTCTAATTTGCGTTGGTATTGGTAGTCTCCACTGACACGGTACCAGCGTGCTATGAATATTTGCTGTTGTGCGAACAGCACAGATGCTCCCACTCTCTCTCTGATGCGTTGTGATTTTGCGATGTTTGTTTGTTGTCGCATTTCTTCTGTGTTATTTTCCATGCGCTACGGTTTCAGTGATGTTGTTATTTCACTCATGTACATTCATTCTAATGCTGTTCGTTCATGCTAATGCCGTATAATAAGCGGAGCTCGTTTACGTGCTGAGACTTATGCACCCCTGTTATTCTTCGTCCAGAGAACTTAATATTTTTAACCATTTATGCAAGCATACTCTATTTTTTTCAAAAAACCAATTCGTTCAATTGAAGTATTGGGAGCCGCCAAATGTACAAATGATTAGTTCACCAATTTGGACAAACATACTCGCCTTTTCCAACAACCAAAGTCAGAAAAACATACTCATGTTTATTGGTATTCCAAACTAACTAACATACTCTTGTTTAACGCAAATCAAGGTCTATGATTTGAAATAATATATTTTGTCTGGATTGAATTAAAACTACGGTGAGTTTGGAAATGAATAACATTTTTTTAAACTGACTCATGAAACGAAAACATACAAATGCGCAACGTAACAAAAATATTTACTGAAGTGCTGCTAAGAAAGAAAAGTCTCAAAAGTGAATCTTGAATGAGCGCTGTGTTGAAGCGAATCATGAATTAACGCACACGTACCGCTACTCATGTTTCACTGCTGCTGCTCAAACATGCTCAAACATTCATGATCCACTTTTGCGTGTTTGCTGTTTAATGTTTCGTTTCAGAATGTTTATTCCTGTATTGCCATTTTCATTCTCACAGCCTCATATGAAGTACATACTTCGAACGTTGATGAATACAATTCCCCTGGCAACATCGCCATTGTCATTTGACGATGTTAGTCTCCAGAATCCATGCTCTTCCGTTGTAATATTTTTGATGCGCAGTCCACAGGTTTCTTTTTTCCACGCTTCGAAGCTATTTTTATTGTTGTTTTTTTTTTCATTGCAACACAGCCGCCAAGAATACAACGAATGGCGTAATTACATTAATAGATAATTAAGCTGTTGTTATAATCTTACTCTTGTTTGTGTGGCTGTTGAATGTCAACATCCTGACCGCCCGTCTTGCGATAATGGCAATGCGTTTGCTGAGCTACTGGTTCAATTATTTTCAGATAAATCTCCTCACCGACGACAGCATCGATTTCACTTGGAAACACTAAACCGTTCATTAGGCCCTGACGCGATTCGTAATTGGATGCGACGGTTGTTAAGACTGCACTCACCAAAATTAGATGCGAAATCATTTTACTGCGACCGAAATAGAGTGGCGAGGTCATTGTAATCAACAATGTGCTGAATACTCTGATTGAATGAACTGCTTTCATTTTGTACATTTGCACATTGGCCACCTGTCTACGTTTGGGAGGAGGGAAGGGCGACAGTGTTTGTTATCGGATAGTCTGGCCGATTGACGCAAATTGACACAAAAGACGTTTCGAAAGAAATAAAACTCAACAAAATAGATAAAAAAAAAACAACAGCTTTTGTGATAAATGACGAAGATAAGATATATTTTGTTCTTTGTGTTACATACATTGTTGCAATTTAATTTTATTTCATTACACCAATTTAAGGTTATTGTTTTGTTTTTGTTTTTTTTTCATAAATTTTGGAAAAACCAATCTTGTTTGAACCATATAGATCATCACTATTGTTTTCAGGCCTCATACAGCAATCCACTCAACAAATTGCATCTTCTTAATTAGGGTTTTGTTGAATTTATTTTAATTACAAGAATAATTTTATTATTTTTTATTTTATATGCTTATCTATTTTGGGTTGTATGTGTGTATTTGGGTGGGTGTTCTTTTCCACCATGTCTACATAAATGAGAATAATCAATTTCTGATAGACAAAACTTGATTAAAACAGCCGTTTCTCATGAATATTTAAATACGTATTTAATAATGAACAGTATCAGTAATAACATAATAATTGTCTGCCATCAGTTTATTACTTCAAGCAATCTTTACACATTTCATACATAAGGGTAACATTGCGCACTTATGACTCATTCTTGTGAGCGCATCTGTAGCAAAAAGTGGAATGAAAATTAAATTCCATAAAAAAGCTTTATTATGAACGCTCGTTATGCTCTTTAATTGAGTATAATGAGATTTTATTTACGAAAGTCGATATTATTTTGTAACCTTTCAATTCAAACATGATCTGATAAAATTTAATTTCATCTTTTTCTTCATTACTTTTTAAGCTGTTCATTTTTCCGCTGTAGGTTATGAATGGATTTATCCGTAGCTATGCATTTGCATATGAATGCTTAATTCGGTATCAATTAACACTGATCCGATGTTTGAAACCCAAATCTAATCAATAAATGTATGAAATACACATCGCAAGAACCGATGAGTTATAGACATATTTTTGGTTTCATGATACTTTTCGTAGATTTTCTCTCTGATATGGGATTTGTTGTATGATACACAATAAGTATACACATGCAATAAGCTGATGTAAGCATATTTTACTGACTGGTGAGTTTTTTGACATTTTTTGTTACTGAGTTTAATTTTGAACATTTCTTCTACATTCCAACAGAATAGGAAAGTAATACGGTGGATTAAATTCTCTGTCACTCTACAAACCTGAAAAGGGAAGTTGCAAAAGTTCGGAATTTCTACGAATTAATTAAAGGAAATGTTTTACATGTTGCATATTTTCGAAAAGTTGTTCGGTTACTTCCGTTACTTCTAATACAATACTAGGGTTTGTGATCGTAAACATTTGGGGCAAAAGGTCCCAACATCGGATTAGTGTTAATGTGTAAAATAAAATCAGTGATTGAAGTTTCGGTTTGGAGATTACATCCGATTTGAAAGCAAATGCAATAGTGAGCGATGAAAAGAGCGTGCTCAAACTTGAGTTGAAAATATAAAACTTATCTTACATGAGCGCAGTTACAATGATAAGTTATTTTCTTTTTGTTCATTGATAATGCTTGTTCGAGTGTTTATTATATATTTGTTTAGACAAATGTTGTGATTTAATCAAGTGATCATCGATTTTTTTTAATTTCATATCGACTGTGTCTGACCCGATGGATGAAATGCGTGTTTTTTTTCTATTGATTGTATTATTAATTCCTTTGTGTAAAGCTATCAATGTGTCTCTATGGGAAGTCGTGTCTTTTACGTCGAAAAATATATATATTCATCGCTAGTGCTTTGAGTTTTTACTACGTATCCTTGTCCATTCGATATTGTCTTCGTTCGATCGGGTTGTTTCCATATATAATTACTTCATAAATACTTGAATCGAATTATGGTCGATGCTTGTGGAATATTATTAAATTGCCTCTCTTTCTCTCTCTCTCTCTCTCTCTCTCTCTCTCTGTCTGTCTCTTTCATAAGTAGAAATATCCGAAAACCAATAAATCCACAAGAAATTAGTTTTCACACATTTTCCCATGGAAACAAGGAGTTATATTCAACAATGTCTCTGTTAGTTTTCCGGATAATCCTGGGAAAAGAGACTGTGTGTTGCACACTTTTGGAGCGAGCTGAAGTTTAATTTGTAAAATTGCATTTCGTCGGCAACACGACGGCAAGCCAATACAATTGCAGTACGCGTCGTAGCAATGAACATTGTACAACTACCCATTCAAGTGGATGATTATATATTAATAAAAGTGGAAATAAAACGGATATAAATTGTGTAAGAGAGAGAGTGTTTGTGTAGCTGTATACCAACATCTCTATAGATAAGCGGCAGAAATACAAATACTCTCTATACGAGTGCAATTTGAAAAAAAAAAGATTTTTGCTGTTCGCTGTTGTGTTGAGATATAGATGTTCATGTTGGCTAATTGTGATTGAGAATGTGATGCTATTCCTCGGTATAGTTTCTTTTTCCGTCTGTATATAGAGCCTAACTAAGCTTAAATATATAGTAAATAGATATTAGATTTGTACAGATTGTATCAGCCATTGAATTTGCGCATAAAATATCGCAAATGAATGTTTAATGTTCAAAATAAATAATTCCACTGAATCGATGGAAATAATGCGATTGAGTTTGGCTGGAAAAAATAGCGGCCAAAATGGAAACGATGGGAATCGTTGAAAATAAAATGTTTGTAATAAAATCCGTTGAAAAGTCTTTTTGTGGAACATGTAATAAAACCATGTTTTCTTCTGTTTGAGAATGACGTTTAAAATCTGAGAGTTGTTCATTTTTTAGAAAAAAATCAGTCGCGTGCGGACGAAGCGTTGGAATGTTAGAGTTTACAAAATATTGTGCAGAATTTTCATATTTTTTTGATTATATTTTACATAAATTCTTGTCGAATCAAATTATTACAAGCACATTTCTTGCGCATTCAATTGAATTTTCATTTTCTCTGCAGCATGGCTGTGAAAATTCGTTTTTTGTTGATTTACAAAAAGAAGAAGAACAATACGCAAATCAGGTTAAATTTGATGAAAAGAATTTCAGAGTATTGGAAGAATGATTTGATTAAACTGGAAGGAAATATTGAAGAATTTTGGCGTGGGAGAAATTGCTCAACAAATTACTTCGTTCAACTCTTAATTTCGTTTTGTTCATTCGCAAATTCATATTCAATACACATCCTGGCCTACGGATAGTGAAACCTTGCGATTGATTATAATAAACATTTCTGCAATCGTCTAAAAATATTCGACTCCTACACTACGAATATCCTGTGCAACAAATTTTTTATGTCTTATTTCATCTTTTGTTTGGTTTTTGTACATCAAATCTACGGTATATCAACGTTCAATTTCAATAACCAATATGTATATGAGACAATATATTTAACGATTATCACAAGAGGAGGATCTTTCAAAAATTCCATAAAAATGTGTGTTTTTTTATTAATGTTTGTAAATTGAAATCATATTTGTTTACCAAATGTTTGTTTATCAAGAAGGAGGATTGAGGTATTCACCGAAAAATGTGATGAGTGTTTTGTTTGTGAATCGATCTATTTCTATTCTTGTTCCTTCCTTTTTTTGTATCTCCTGAAAAATTGTTGATATTTTTGTTTTCTTTTTGCCGAATATTGTCTGTTTGGCCGTAGAGTGATTGTGTATTATGTTCAGAGCAAATATAAGATTGTGTATGTGTATACTCCTACCTCGAAGGCTGCCGTGTGTCTGTATGTCGGGGAGGAGGGATAAAAACAAGACATGGACTTGTGTTCCCGCAGAAAATGAAGAAAGTGTCAGTGAGATGTTCGATTTTGGATTTAAGCACCACTGGCAGTTGTTTACGAAAACGTTTTCTTTTTTTTATCCTGTTTGGGGTTGTGAGATGCGCCTTATCGCATGCCACATAGCCACTGGTTTTCGTAACGACGTCATCATTTGGTTCCAATGCCGTAAGCCCTTATCGGATGTTGAACATCCAACAATAACATGTCCAATTGGTTTGGGTCCTGTAACGGTATTGCTATTCTCACTGTTTGCTGACGATGGCTCCGGCATGCTCATCACTGTCAAACGCACTTGAATCGCACCCAACATATATGGTGGCACACTAAATATCATCGCCTCATTAAAAATCGGACAACTGTCCGCCCGCTTCACGTTTGTCTTCTTTTTTGACACTTTTTTATCATCTTTTTGCAAATAAACCTGGAAAATACGTGACATTTAATTCAGTAAATTTTGCTTTGGCTTACATTACGTAGCCTACGTATTTACGCAGGCAATTGATACTATTTGGATGTGAATTATACCTTAACGAAAACATTTTGTTGCGAATTGTTTGGATCGTCCTCGTTGAGCTTAAGGTTTCGTGCCTTTACAACGACAACAGTTAATCTTTCGGCAGTCGGCAAATAGCTCAATGAAAACATTAATTCTCCATATGGGCTTTTGTTGTGTCTCGAATCGGATAATGTGAGCCAGGTTGTTATTGGACGACGAACATCGCCGATTTGAAACTCAGTCTCACCTGCAAACCAAAAACCAAACGCAAATATGTGGGATTGTTCCATTTGAGCAATTAATCAGCAGGTTGCTTTGTGGCAACAAACACAATTGCGATGCTATTCATTTACTCACCGATAAGCGTATGAACGGTTCCACTGTGATACACGTGAAACCATAATGTTCGTCGTGTTTGTGTTTTATTACTTAACCAAAACGAAATTGTCTCATTGTAACTCGGACATCTTGAGTTTCGGAACAACTGAAATGAAACACACACACAGAGCGGGAGAGAAAGAGAGAGGGAGTGGATGAGAGAGAGAAAAGAAGAAAAAAAATTAGAAAACAACATGGCATTTATTTATGTGCTTTCTGTTCACTTCATTTGTCGTGGCACCCATCATCATCAGGGTGCTGCACACACACAAATGGAACTGAATGGAATGCATGACGTACTTTTGTTTGTTGTGCTACTGTTTCATCGGGAACCATATAAATTCGAACAAATGTATCAAATTGCTCAGCATCCGGAGGTCCAATTAATTCTTTTGCTTCCATTACGGTTAACACAATTTCAATGCCTTCGTCTGTCAGTGTGTTTCTATCGAATGACAAGAAAATGTTGAAATGAATGAGAAGACGAACAACAACAACAACTAAGTACCAAAATGAATTCACTATGAAAAGGGTCTTTTCAATTATTTTCCACCGAGAAGCATAATCATTTTCCATTCGTCTTTTGTTTTTTAATGTCACAATACTTTTTTTTCTTATTCGTTTTGCCATTTCAAATTCGATTAAATTTATGGAATGGATTTGGGCATTTTAAAACTGTCACAACCAGACCGCATTGTCCATTTGTAACAGCCATTCATTTAATTTTGAAAAGTGTTGACGGAAAAATGCGAAACAAACCGAGAAACGAACAGTGGCATTTACTTACTTATCATATTGCAGTCCAACACACAGTTGACCAGTTACGGTTGGCACATTGCTCTGTAGCTCCAAATCGGCCAGCAACACTGACGATTCCGAATTGACAGAATCACAAGACATGGCTCGCTTTAATTCGGTATCGTTTGTTTGTAAATTGTTGGCTTGTTCACTGGCCGAATTCAGGATTGATTGGCCGCTCGGTGTACGATTCAACGCATTGGTGAGTAGTTTTTTCTGTGTGGAATATTGCTCGAGGTATGTGTCCGAAACGGTTTTATGTAGATTACCAGCGACAAATGGATTATTGATTGCTGTTGATTGCTCATAAATATCCGTGGCTAGTGTTTTGTTTGATCCCGTATCGGATAGGGAGCGATTGTGATTAATTTGTTGGTTATTTGGTGCATAATTTATTTGGCCTAATAGTGTCACTTCATTAGTTGATGTTATGCTTGTGGATGTTGTTGTTGGTTCATTTAATTCAATCAAAGTGTCAGTCGTTTCCGTAATTTCGAATTTCGTCGTATTTGTCGTTTGGTTGTGGTCACCACCGTCGTCATCAATGTTACCATTTGAGGGAAATGAGAAAAATGATACATCATCATGTCGATGGCGTTTCGAAAATGGATTTTTCTGTAATTTTTCGTCGTCGACGGCGTGAAATGTCTGCACTTTGGCACTATTGTATTGGTTTTTATTCACATTTAGATCGATACTATTGGAATTATCGTCTTCTGATATCGATAGAGACCCATTGAGAAATGGATTTGTACATGATTTTGGGCCATTGTTAATTTTAGCCACCACATCCGATAAATTGATATGCGCAACACCACAATTGGCTGGACTGGAAAATTGCCGTTTGGTCACTGGCCGTGGAATGACTGTACTTTTGTCGTCAATCACTTGACGATTCACTTGGAACTGAATGCTACAAAGCGAAATAAACATACAAATATTTTTCTTCACTCAATCATTTACGAACGTGTAACTTTTTTATCTATCTTTGTTAGTACCAATACCTAAACACACCGAGAGGGAGTGAGATACAGAGAGAGAAAGAGAGAGCTTAATCAAATATACCTTTGTGCTTCGGGTGTTAGCTTTGTTGGTGATTTATCCAACGATCTCTTGCGTTCGCGGAATGTGGGTGAATTTGGTGCAGGTCGTAATGGCTGTGGCGGTATCTCCGGTACGTTAATATTCCACGATGGTGATTGTGTGGCTGGATCGCCGGGTTTATAGTCACGGTCAATCGACTCAAAATGCTTAAAACTGCCAGTTGAATTTAACAAAAACTCCGAACCGGATTGGATCTAGCCGAAAGTCAAATAAAATCAGAATGAAAATCAAAATGGATAGAGTGCAACCTCGAAACAATTGTTGAATGAGTTGAATGCGCAACAGATACCACGCTTGATATGGCTCGGTGTGTGTTTTTTGCGTAGTTTGTTTGTACCATGCCTAAATTTGTATTATAAATTGTAATCAGTTTCATGGTTGGATTGTTTGCAGGTGAAGGTCAATTTTGCACATCAATATGTATTCGTACACGTTTATATACATATACACCCTCGTTCGTACTGCACACCAAATGGAGATGGCATAATTCGTCGCAACAAGTAAATACGATGCCGAGGAAAATTCTCTCAATAAAACAAATATCCGGTATTCAACTGTAAATAATTGCTGAACAAACGATTGTAGCCATTAATATTGATGAGTTTTTACGCTTTATCTCTCTCTCTCTTTTTCTCTCTCGTCTTTATCGCCTCTGTTTTTTTTCTCGTCCCATTCCGGAGAGCTGGAATGACAAATGACGACGATGAGAAAAAGCGTTCCGTTCGGTCGCATGGTACACTCATCATTGACCTTTGGATTTGTTTTTGTGTTGAATGAAAAAGTTTCACTAATTCGAATTTGCAATTTTTTGCGCTTTACTGCTTCCATAATCCAGTCCGAGCGGGGTGCACGCTCGTTTACTCTTCGCAAAGAATAAATGTTGAGTAATGAATTTTCGCCTCTTACTTTGCTACGTGTTTCCTTTTTTTGTGCGTTCTCATCACATCAAGTTTTTAAACGCTAAACAAACATTCGATTATTCTGTCATTTTCAGAAGAAAAATAAAGAGTCGTCGGCTGTGCGCTTCGCACAAAATCATATAAAACATTAAATAACGTTTTTTGATTCGCCTTTGTCGAGCTTTTCAAACTTGGTGGAAACCAAATGGCCGCACATAAAACTGCCTGTATTCACTTCTCCGTCGCGCTCTCATTTGCTTCACAAAATGGACCGGATTTAAATTTAATTCACTCTTTTATATAATAAAATACCATGAATATTTAATCGGAGGGAAAGTGATAGAGGGAAAAAAGCTTCGGCGTATCACATTACTGGGAAATTGCATGTAACATTTCATTAGGTCGCTTTCTTTTCACAAACACTTTTGCCTGTTGAATATCGTTTTTCTTTCGTAAACATGCACACATACACACATATGTATACAGTCTCTCTACCTTCGTTCTTAATGCCCCTGACTCATGAATATGTAACGCTTTATATCGTCGTTTTTTGTGTGTGTATCGTATCGTGTATGTGCGCCCATGAATGTAGCCTGATACGACATTCATATCCATCGCACATTGTATAATAGAACAGCAGGAGTAAAAAAGCGATGTGGAAACGACAGCAGCAACAGCAACAACAGTAGCAACACGTTGTTGAGCTGAACTTATTTAAATTTATATTGAATATGTCGGACATCTGACACCCAAATATAATGCCACTAACGATGATAATCTATTGATATTGAACATGATAAACTGCGCTTGGATTTGCCTTCACTTTTGTGTGAAAATTGGCAGACAGGGAGCGAGCGAGAGCGAAAGAAAAATAGAGAAAACAACAAAAAAGAGAAACGGGCGAACATAAAGCATAAGTATGAGAGTAAAAGAACAAACAATCGATAGCCAAATATATACGGGCTCTCAAGCTTCGGACACATCGACAATTGAGGCAAAAAAGTTCTTTGGTGAAGTTTTCGACTTTTATGTTCGACTAGACGATATAGATTATCCGGATTTAAGTTCTATTTCTATGCTTGTTGATGGTTCTCGCATGCTGCTGCTTCTGTTACCAACAACACATAATTTGAGTATTTATTGCGCATTCATAGGATTTCCATCAATTGCGTTATTTGATTCGGATCATTTTTACTTCTCTTTATTTGATTATCATTGAAAAATCATCATTTCAATGCTTAAATTATATACATTTATGCACAAACAAATACAATGATCGAGCGAGATGAGAAAAAAACACAAAAATTCGTCGGAAAACTCACCAGATATCCATTTGCATGATAGATTCGGTTTTTGGAAAACCCAATTTTCTCTTCTCGATTTGAGTGGATCCATGCAGCTGTTTTTGATCCAAAAAAGTGCAGTACCAGCAATACCATCAATAAAATCAGTCCAATCACACCGATACTTGTTGCTATGGCTTGCAGTGCTTCCATGTTATTTATATGGCTATTGTTGTTGTTGAACACTGTTTCTCTTGATTTTATGCGTGTTGGCTTAGTGGTTTGATTTTAGTTTTGGTACGCAGCGCGTGTTTTTTTTTGTTCTGTGTGTATATCATATGCAGAAATGGCCGGGCGTCAATGTGGTCGATGCAGTTTTACCACCGACATTATGCGACATGCATATAAAAAAGTGTGCGGTATTGGAAATATGTTGTTTTCGTCGTTGTCGACGTTGTTGTTTTAATGTGCTTTTGAGTCTGCAACACGATGGTTTAAATTGCGGCAAAAAAAAACTCGCTTTCGAAACGATATCCAATTCCCTCTTTATTCATTTATGCTGGAACACTCGTTTCTCTTTCCCTCACTCTCTCCTGATTCACTGGCACATTCAATTTAAACTTTCAATACGTGTATGTATTTTCGTCGTCTCTGTTTTGTACTCGATTTTCTAATGCAAACACAGTTCCACTTTCATTTTAACTGGGTCAACCCCAACAAACCATTTGCAAACTAAAATATACGAGAAGTAGTTTTAAAAACCGTATTTTATCTATTGTTATTCATTGCATTCTGCAGTTGGTTATTCATTGATTTTAGCACAACAATGCGGCAGCAAAATTGAACAGAAAGAGAAAAAAAAATCATAAATACTCAGCTTACACTGCTCTTTCAATCGACGACCAGAGATACCGGCTAAGTGCATTCAAATTAGTACCACATTATTCTAATGGGTAAAACTATGGTCTCGCTCTTTTCTAATTACTTAATGGAAATGAAAAATGAAATGTAGGCACGCTTTTGTCAACACATTGGTCCAATTGCCCAACGCAATTTCTTATATGAAATGCAAATTCGGAAGTGAATATTGCAGGAATCGTTTCATTTTCTCTCTATCTTTCTCTCTTTGTCTCTTTCTCCCCTTGCCCAACGTCTATATGCTTCGACTACAGGCTGTTATTAATCGTTATTTCTCGTTGTATATTTATTGGAAGTTTCTATATCGACCATTTACCTAAAGCAATTCAATCAGCATACATTTCGTTTAGCCTCAAGTAGAATGCCAACGGGAACAAACTCATTAGCTAGTTGCATAATAAATAAAATGCTTTGACTCGTGGGTTTTCAATTCAATGCAATACAATTTATTCGTGCACAATTCGTGCATTCGTTTGCCACTCCAACTAATGCTTACTTCTTCTTCATCGTTGTCGTAATCGTTGTCTCGTGTTCGTTACGATTTGCGAGCAATTTTATCAGGCAAGCGTCAGAAAAATTCAACACAATAATCAACACTGCATTTACCCTTTAACCTTTTTTTCTACGGGACTTTCTGTGTTGTCGGATCGGATCGCTGGAGCGTTAAATGCAACCGACAACCCCTTAAAAACTTCGATTTATTATCATGAACATGTGAACAGCATACTTAAGGATAATAATTGCTACATACGCATGCACACAGGCACGTACACGTCAATCAAAATTTTACTGAACATACACTTCAATCGAAAGACTTTATATCTCAGGCAGTCAACAACTTCCACAGTACACACACACACACACACACTACAATATGTGGGTGGTAGATTATGCATTCAAATTAATTTGAATGTTTCTGTAAAATGGCTTGAAGAGGAGGTTACAACTTGCCAATTTGTTATAGCTTTTTCAAGAGGCAATCCCTCTCATCTGTGAAACGTGAACTTCAATCAAGTGAATTTTTCTCAAATGATTTCGAACCGAACCGAACCGAAAAGACACTGTGAATTTCGATGCAGAGACTTCGTCATTTTCTTTCACCGACATCAAACGAAAAATCAGCATTCATCAACTTCAATATTGCCGATGGGCAAATTGTTGCGCAATGTGAATCTCAGATGTTTAGTGCCGATTGAGAAAAGCAGCAACAGCAAATTTAAATGAATAAAAGAATTTTATTAAGAAAGGAAAAAAGTCGTTGAATCAGTGAAACTTGTGCTTCAAGTCATCTTGTGTGTATTTCAGTTCACTCGAGGGTACATTTTTTCCACCTCATCCACCTTTCCAGCGAATACATCGATGTTTCAAACATTGACTGTGGGCAAATTGAATTTTAAAACCATAAAATGAACTGCTATTCCCATAGCGCTTTGCTCTAGCCTAGTCACGAAGTGGAATTAAAATTCAGATAGAATTAACAGTACACCTGAATGTAAATCGGTGTGTAGGCATGTGAGCGAGCGAGCGCGCGCGCGTACACTCACTTTCAACGTTTGCTAATGAACAAAAACTTGGCAATATTGTTTTAGCAGAATCAATTTGCATTGACTGTGTGTTGCAGTTAACTTCAACCCACTCACTTAATTCATATCCAGTCCAACAATATGAACGATTTTGTATTGCGTTATGTTGTTAGTGGAATGCATTCAAATTTAATATTCATGATTAGTAAATACGATAAGCCCTATTAAAATCAACTTGCATTGAGCGTTCTTGTCTGTGTATGTCTTTGTCTCTCTCTCTCTCTCTCTCTCTCTCTCTCTCTCTCTCTTCTCTCTCTCTCTCTCTCTCTCT